TTATAGGACAAGCGTTTTTTCGCTATATCTAAATAAATAAACTTGTTAAATGGGTAATATTTCTTTTAAAATATAAAGACAGTAAGTAATGTTAAATCATAGCTTGTTTTGGAACCATTGAAGGTAGACTAGTCAAACCCTGCAGACCCTATTATTGTACATATAAAAGTATATATACATAGAATACATATTAAAAATTAATTACTAAAGTATAAAATGCTCGTATTCACCACACAAACATCTGCCCCCACCGAGGTTTGTATCCGGGACCTCTCGAGTCAGCGACATCATGAAACCCAGCGTGCAAACCACTCCGTCACGGAGGTCATCAAAATATTGAATTCAATATTGAATTAGAACACAAATTTCAAATCACATCGGTGAATTCCGCAGTGAAAAGTAAGTCACTGGTGAAATATTGAACGATATACATTTAAAAACAAAAGCAAAGCAACAAACATATATGCCAAAACCTTACCCTTTTTTCACGTTTCAAAAAATTTAGTTATTTTAATCGCTAAAAATTTAATATTTATATTTATTTAAAAACAAAATTTACAATTTCAAATGAAATATCCTAAACGCCTCTCCGTGACGTTATAAAAACAAGAATTTTATTTTAAAACAAAAGACGAAAGCCTAATCCTTTTAAAAAATTACATCCTACATCCATTACTCGCTTTTGCCACCGCAAAATTAATCTTGCCCGCAAAAACTATGTCTTATTAAAGAAAATCCCGCCCCAAAGGCGAGCCCCTACATCCCCAGATAAACAGACAGAATGTATGCCCCCTATTAATAATAATTTAAGGGCAGCAAAAAGTGAGGTTTAGGCCGCCTCGTTTTGTATACGGACGACTTTTTGTCGCGAATTTTCACGATGCGTTTAAGAAAATTAGTCTGCGTCCGTCCCCCTTTTAGTTGTTTTTAGTATTTTTGGTTTGCTCCAAAGTTACTAATTGAGGTTTTTTTGTTGTTCTGTTTTCGTTTTAAATGAAAGCTGTTATATTCAGACCAGAGTCATATATTTGCGTTCAAACCACCCAGTAAATTTTGATGAATTTTCCTCCCGAAATAAGAAAATCTCAAAATAGGACGACCTTGTACTGGTCATATCAGGCTTTTAATGTCCCCCACTGCCGGAGCACATGCCTTATGGGTCATCCTATGGGTGAATAAGCAATCATGCAGGCCCAGTTGGGATTGGTAACTGCTAACGACTGCAGATGCAGCCGGGAACAATGGCTTAACGTGCCATCCGAAGCACGGAGGAGCTCGAGATAGTAAATTTTCGGTCACCCATCCAATGACCGACCTCTGCGAAAGTTGCTTAACTTCAATGATCGCAGCCGACCGCGCTAACTACTGGCACCGGTCGGTATTACATTAAAATTAAATTTATATTCATAAGTTAATCCAGGAATATGCAACTAAACTACATTCATAAAATAATGAAATAGCATTAAAAATATAGTTCTATCTGTGAGTAATGTTTGTTCGTGCCCATTTTTTAAACATTTTTTTTACCAAAACAAGGTCCCGAAAATTCAAATCGTTTCGTGCCCTATAAATTCAAGACATGACTAATCGTCAAATTAAATGGTCAGTCACTGCTCTCGTTATGAATAGGTTTAATCCTATCTTTGGCGACCTCCTTAATCTAGCCCTCCAATCCAAATCCTCTGTCAGACTTGGGCCAATCCTCGTCAACTTGAGATAATAAGATCCGATGCGACTTAATAAAATTATCCTAATTTTAATATTTTTTTATATGAATTGCTCTTTCAAGTATAGCTCATAGATGTAAAACACTTTTGCCAAAACTTTTTAAAGAGACCTTAAAGGTGAGTTTAAAGAAATTAATATTTAAGCATTGGCCGGACAGTACATTTATGAGAATATAATTTATTTACATAAACAATATATTTTTAAATTTAAAGAAAATATAACTAAAAAAAATCCACGCGGACCAGGCAGCAGACGGGACTCGAACCCGCACCCTTCGTTATCCGGGCGAATGTACTAACTAATTATGCTACCACGGCCCTGGCGGTGATTATCTAGTTATATTTTCTTTAAATTTAAACATCAAGCAGTTACATGCTTAAAAAATAAAAATTATAACAATATTATATTTTTTTATTAAACATAGGAAATAAAAATAAACTTGCTTTACAGCAGTTGTTGTTCATTTTGATACTATTGCAATGATCAATGTTATCATTATGATATTTTTGTTTGACGAAAATATATATAACGATCAAATTCTTTGAAATTCAATGGAAAATTTTCCAAGTTGACTGACACATTTAAGGAAGACAAGTCCTTAATTAGTTTTTTAAGACGAAATTTATTAACAGGTGATTGCATCTTTTATTAGTTATAATATAAGAAGAGTACAGTATGTTTAAGGTATTCTAAGTCGTTTATAATTAATACTTAAGCATCTAGTAGTTTAATAACCGCAATATTGCAGGTATTATTAGGTATTTCTTATATTTTGTTAGTTTATTAACTACCTATTTATCTGTGAACCGACTGACTTTGAAATGTAAATTAAGTTCCACTATTGTTTTGTTGCTTTAAACGTTAAGAGGGTTTAATAAATCTTTGTCATTTCATGTATTGTAACAAATTGTTTTCCTCGTTTGGAGTCGTTTTTATAACATTGTAATGTCTAGACTTTTTTTCCTTTTTACAGCGTTCATTTAAGATTAATTATCATTCCTTTTAGTAGTAATTTATTTTAAGGTAAATTAAGCAACATTTTCACTAAAAGAAACTATTTTTAACAGGCAAATCAGCGTGTACATTGACGTGGCGGGACCTTTACAGGTCCCATTTACAAAATTACTAATTATAGAAATGATACCTGTAAAGGGCCCAAAACTTCAATAAAAATTGAAATAAATATACGCTGTTTACCTATTAAAAAGTATTTCTTTTAATGATAAGTGTGCGTGAAAATATAAGAAATAAATATAATATTTACACTGTGAATATAAATTTGAGAGCTCGTTTTAAAGTCTTGTGGAAGTGTATTCCAAGCTCGGTCCCATTATTTCGACACAGAAATCGAGCATGCCTTCCATTTTCTATTGAGCAAGCGGAAGGTGCTCCACACTTCAATTTAACACAGATTCCTTAGCTGAATCGATCCTTCACGAGGTCCTATTAAAAGTCAGCCACTACCACGAATTTCAAACTTCATACCATTAGCCGCCGGTCCAAACTTTAATTATGTTCTGGCTGTGACCAATTGCGTTCGTGTCTCGTTTTCTCACAAGTCATGCAACGTGCTACCGTGTCCTGTACCGAAAACAGTACACCCAGTCTCGCTGGCGTACCCTTCCAAGTTCTCTACTTTAGCACCATCAAAATTGAGTTCATATTCGTGAATGAACACTATCTCATTAATGCCGTTTCGTCAAATTCGTACAGCATCAACCGAAATCCGACCGTCATCAGAATTAGATGATGATGTAATTTGAACTCTATTTGGTTACTCGCCAAGATTGATATCGGCCCGATTGTTGTTATTATAAAATTCTATTGTTGCGTCAAAATTGAGTCGTGTAATAGCAATGGAGCCCGAAGGAACGTGTTCCGTACATTGATTGTTGGTGAATAAAATCTATCGGCGGGATGACAAGCCGGTTTCGCTTAGAAACTAATTTGGAGTATCACAATGACTATCAATGGTGCTCGGAAACAGTCTTTTGAATGTGCGAAGAGTATCAGCATTGTACAATAGACGCTACTTTGTGGCACGCGTGAGTCGTACTTAAATATAGCTAAGCTCCTTTCAAATACATGTTGAGATTAAAACATAACTTCGTTTCTTACATGTATATTTTTTTGTCCTATCCCAGTATCGATTAGTCGCGGATCTCATTATCACGTCCAGTAAAAATAATAATTGTAAATTAATATTTTTTTATGCAAATTAAAACCACATTCTACATTTGCTGAATTTTAATTAATCTTCGTACGAAGGTTAGATAAATTATACAATATTATACAGATTTGATTTGAGAGATGCATCTTAAGGAAGCGAAGTCACGACGCGTGAAAAACGCCGTGACGGTGGCATCCTGTCTTTATATATTAGCATCTTAGTTACTTGAGCAAATAAAAAAGTCCCTTGTTTTGCTCAGCGAGCAATTTGTTCCGGCTGCCGCGGATGTCGTTCAAGGGCAAAATTCACTTTCTGGTTCTGATGATGAATCTTAGATTAATGTTATTTTCGACACCATTGAAACTGTTGATGATCTTCGTGCTGATTTTGATGTTTTTGCTTGACTATTCAATTTGTATCATTAAAATTAAAATAAATTAATGCGCACTACTACCTGTTGCCTTAACGACATCATTAAGATTAATTTGAATCATAAAAATTATAAACCAAAAACAAATGATATTAATTTCCTTTTTTTGTTAATTTCAGGTGTTCGGCTCAAAGGCGGACCTGCAGCTACATACTCAAATCCATCTTCGCGAGGCGAAGCCGTACCGTTGCACCCAGTGTCCGAAAGCCTTCGCCAACTCTTCGTACTTGGCGCAACACTCACGCATCCACCTCGGCATCAAGCCATACCGCTGCGAGATCTGCCAACGCAAGTTCACCCAGCTCTCCCACCTCCAGCAGCACATCCGAACTCACACAGGTGACAAGCCTTACCGCTGCACGCAAATCGGCTGCACCAAGGCGTTCTCCCAACTATCCAACTTGCAAAGCCATAGCCGCTGCCACCAAACAGATAAACCTTTTAAGTGCAACTCCTGCTACAAATGCTTCACGCATGAAAAGGATTTGCTGGAACATATCCCGAAACACAAAGAGTCAAAGCATTTGAAGACGCACATCTGCCAATACTGCGGCAAGAGTTATACACAAGAAACGTATCTTAGTAAGCACATGAATAAGCATGCAGAGAGAGCTGATAAGCGGCCGCCGATTTCTGCCTTGGGATTGAGTGGATTGAATCGTTCGCTGGCAGCAGCCGCGCCTACGGCGGCACCGTTTGGTGAGCACCCGTACTGGCCTAAAGTGAGTCCGGACTCAGCAGCGCACATGTCCGACGATGGTGGGTACCACCAGCAACGTGAGAGCGACGATCACCACGAGCAGCAGTTACAACAACAGCGGGCGTTGTTCTCTCAACACGAGAGCCAAGACGATCGCATACAGCCTCCCGTCTCGTCCGCTGCCAATTCAGCGTTCACGCCGATCAATTCAATGGCCCCGCATCTCAATGGGCTCTCCCATCATAGTGCTCTCCCCACTCGACCTTACCTATACGATCCCCTGCATTTCCAACAAGGCAAACAGCAGCCGAATTCCTTCCCCAACCAGCTCATATCGCTGCACCAGATCAGGAATTACGCTCACCAACCCTCTGCACTACTGCCGGCGGAACACATTCTTCCACACGCCCTATCTCACAAAGACAAACAGTAAACCCTTGCCGTTTACATAGGTACGCCTACATTAATACTTACGATAGTATTATTAGTATATAAATAACGAAATATTAATTAAAATGTTTAGAATCTCGCTCTCGAAGACAGTGGTATTAATGAATGTATGAAATACGAAATTGGTTTTATCGTTAGTAAAACGACTTCATGTTTTTAGACTTAATCGTGTATGAATACTCTGAAATTTTGTGAGTAGTTAATACTGGTTAAACACAATGATGCCGATTGTTTCATTGGAGGACAAATCACAGATCATAGATTAGTTCTTACTAAAGCAGAGATTCGTTTAAAAGCGTTGTAACGGATGAATGATCATAGATTTTAGAAGAAATTGAAAGCCAAAAATGTTGTTACCTCAGTATCCTTTATCTTTGATCAATCTTTTGTTACGACTATAGTTGGTACTTCTACTGCTGCTTTATTGAAAACTAATCTCATGAGAATATTCATAGAAGGGCCTAATCGCTACGACCTGCTTCTTTCTACAAGCAGAGATAATTCACAATTACAAGAAAGTATTATTTTGTTCTTGACATATATCCAGTGACTATTGAATTGACCTCTGGAAGGTTCTTATTATAAAATCTTTAAAACGAATAACTTATTTTCGGATTCGATTTTGGATTTGGAAAACTTTTATCATTGTCTATCATTTATTTGTTTTTTAAGTTCATATTGAAGCATAATAGTGGTAATGCTCAGGTGAATTTATGAGTTATAATTACAATTGAGACTGTTGTACTTACTTAAATAATAAACTGGCTTTTATTTAAGTAGATGAGATTTTGCTATATTCATACCAGAATGTTTTGAAAGTTCCTGATATAAAAATATTTGTAATAGTTAAAAATATCGGTATTTGGAAACAAACCCTGGAACTACTTCATCTGAGTTTCTGTCAATTGCATTTTTATCATTATAAGTATATTATTATACCTATAACTTAACACAGATCTCTCGAATCATCACTTATTGCACTCAGTTCCTACTTAGATCATATTGATTCTTATATTGTTTAGCTTTATTTTCGTATCTATTATAACATCAGTAAGTATTTTAATTTTCAGAATTAGTTAATGTGGTCTGCCTTTGTCATTTGGATGTTTTATACAAGACAGTTATGTACAATTATATTTGAATGATTCATTCCTTGATGAAGGTTTAGCATATTTTCTTTGTCATAATATTTGTAACTATTTCCATTTGTATAAAATATTATTGAGTGGCCAAATTGCTTCGTCTTTTATCTCATTGGGTACGATGAAGGGTGCACATTTTGTAAATATTTTGTAAATATGAGACATTTTTGAGAAACCTTGAAATTTATTGAAATGATTTTTTTTCTCTCTTTATTTTAGTCTAAAATGCTTATGCTCAATTATATTAGCCGTAAGAGTATCCTGGTAGCTGGCAAAATCGGAATTGTATTTATAGTTCGAAAGTACTTAATGTTCCAACTCTATTCAGTGGGTGTCTTACAACGATTTATTTTTAGACTTATTTCATGTATACGATGGATTGTTAATTTTTAAATACGTCTGTAGTAGATAAAACGTAAAGAAATGTGATAGGAGGAGATGGATCTGGGAGAATCATATTTTTGGAGGTGACATACTCTGTTCTTTCGATTGATTTGCTATTAAAAAAACTATTTGATTTATTTTTAAAAATTGTTAGGTTGTGGTTATTTGTGATTTAGACGTTTGGTTCCGAAGGAATCGCCGAATGCTGTCTATCCTGTTGTCACAAATTTAGCCAAATGGTAATTATTAAGTTCTTGTACAAAAACTACTATGTTGTTAAAAATAATCTACGGCAATACTTTATTCTTCCGAATTGTTGTTATTATGAAACATGATTAGAAGGTGCACATTTTTAATGTAAATTATGGTATATCGATTACATGACATGTAATTTACCCATTTTTTTGTGAAATTACGTCGGTAATAAGAAAAAAATACGCCAATATCTCTCTATTGTTAGTAGAAATGTGATATTGTAATTTGATTTTTTTTAGTTAAGTGTAAACTTATTTTGATTAAATACATATTTTTGTAAGTACATAATTACGTTTTAAGATAGATTTGCTTTTCTTAGCCTTTCCGGCTTAGATAAATAGAACAAAATGAAGGAATCATTTTTTTTGTTACTTAAAATCGATTAAAATTACAACTATGCCAAGAATCAAGTCTATTTTTTATTTCTCCCCCATTTTTAATATTTATAAATACCCATTAACTGCTTCTTCGACTGAATATCATATAGGTGGCAAATTCTAAGGATCATAAGGCTAAGGATAAGATCAACTTCATGAACATATAATTTCACTTATATAGAATCTTACAATGCAATTCAACTTCATGACAAATAAAAAGGAAATTATCCAGTTACTAGAAATAACATATTGTAGCTAGATATGTATTCCACTTAAATATTTTGGTCGGCTTAAGCAAAGCATCAAAGATCATAGCTATCATATAAAACAGAGATGAAAAAGTAATCTTTGGATGCTTTGTAAAATTACACACACGCTGGAGTAAGTATTTTATATTCATAATAAGTTTCTATTAAATTTAAGTAAAAAATAAGAAGAATCAAGTGTAGAAATAAAAGAATTCTCAAACTTCCATTTTTTATTTAGTTAACAGTCGCAAAATACATTATATTAAACACTTATGATAGGTATTTACAATATAGGGGGTAATTCTACCTACGTAGGTAAAACAGTTCATCCAGCACAAACCATACAAAAATTAGAAAGCAAGATACATAATTAACCTTACAAAGATAATAAAAATTCTAAATTGCAACTTATTTCCTTATAAGCAAAATAAATTATACATTGGTGTCACCGAAGACAGATTTCTGACAAAAATCTTTAAAAAGAGCTATTCCGAATAAACCAATTTGTCAAGCAAGTTGAAATTAAATTTCAACACTATTGGAATTTAAAATCTATAATTATGTCTGAAACTCATCAATGAAATCAGAAAATCGGCCTCAAGTACCACCAGAACTCCAGAAAAATGAAGAGAATTCGTTTAGTACTCTAACAAATACTTTTATTCAAAAAAGCGTTGAGATACTTATTAAGAAAATGAAAGGATACGACAGTGCACTTAATATTGCTGGAGTGATTTGGAAATAAATTGCAATCAATTTAACTTACATAGTATGGGAATATTTTAAAATAACAATATGTACTTTATATGAATTGTCATTTAGTCGCCCTAATTACTAAACGAGAAACATATAAGTAAGATTTATCAAAACAATAATAATATGGTACTAGACTCCGATCTCGCCTCGCATGTTACAGGTATCAAAATGCCTAAAAATAATACACAAAATAATCAAGAAGTCGAGGAAACAAGAAAAAATATAGAATGTTAAACACAAATTGAATTGCGAGAAGGTTCGCAATGTCATTTTCATACGCAAAGAGATCATTATCAATCGATTTGGAATTTTGGAACCTTTTCACAATCCTGGAAAGAGGGATACTGATACAACAGAATACAATGGCAGCGTAGAATAATTTAATATTGACTAGATTTGCATAGCTCACCACTTATTAGGAATAAAGAAAAATAATATCGATAAATCTAAAAGATTAATAACTATTTTAATGAGCACGATTGATAACTTAATACGACTAAACAATGCAAAGAATAATAGAACACGCGACTCAAAAATGGAAAAAAGAACGGACATATGTAGCGATGAAGATGTTGCAATGATGATTTAGCTGTTACACTGAATAATAGTGGTAGTTTAGACTTCGACCTTGTAGGGGGAGCCGGGGACGTGTTCGTCACCCCACTTGACGATGACGATGTAGTCTCCCCTGTCTCTGACAACGTACCAGCATTCGTAGTTGTTCTTGCCCTTGTGTTTCAACTGGACCTCGTCGCAGGGTCCCTTGGGACCGTAGATGCCGACGTATAGGATATTGTTGCCTGTTGTTTAAAAAGATCAATGATCAATCTATCAACCATGTGTATGTTAAGTATACAATAGTCTACGATAATCTAATCACCAGCGTGTAAACGTCACTAAAGCTAGAGCACAGAGCTTGTCTATGGATGGAATAGGAAAAACTGGCTATGATATTGGTGTACTGTAGATTCTCACGGACATCTTCAGACGAACCATGTTAATCCGATACAATATACGAGTATAATGTCTTATAAGAAAAACTATCTCATAAGACACTAGATTATGTCTTATACATGGTACGAGCTGAATACAATTTTAAATATACTCATCAAAAGCGTCTAGCAATCAAGGATACTTAATTCTTTGAAAAGCTAATCAATCAACATTTACAATGCCTTCACACAGGCTGGTTGATAACTTTCCCGTTCCTCTGGTAACAATAAAAAATATTTCAAGTTTTCGTAAGTTTTGGATTTTTTCCCCAAGTCAATGGGGGCGTCAATTACACACATTCAATACAATACAATAAAATTATTTAAACTTTATTTAAATTGTCTTATTACAAAGGTTTTTTTTTTAAAAAAGTCACACTAGTGCGAAATCAGGATTTTTTCCTGTTTGCCACTTTGCTAATACAACATATTTTATGCACTTGCCACAATACTATTGTATAACTATATATGTAACTATTGTTCCGTAACTAACGCTATTAAATACCCTAGATACAACAACACGAACAAAATAGTGGCCGAAACCTATCCAAAAGGTACATTGGACGATCCACGGAGCCCCATAAGATAGATGATCGCGTAGTCAAAAACAATATAAGGTATTATTTAAACATAGAAAGTCATCTTTAATGCATTCTGTATAAGGTCTTAATAAAAACGCATGCGTCAAAAACTTAATTCGAAATGCAAGCTCGTATAATTTTACGTGTTTTATCTTACCGGCATCACCAGCGTGGACTGTGAACTGATTGTGCTTGTTAAGGTACGCTTTCTTCAGGCCCATGCCCTTGGAGACCACCTTGCTGGCGTCAGACTTGAAGTGTGGCAGCACCGGGCCCTGCTTCTGGCCCTGCTTGGACACCTTCTGCACCGTCTCCACTGTCACTGAGGAGGTCTCCTGAGCACCGACCTCGGCGAGGTTGGAACCTGTTTGGAACAAATATTTTTGATTTAAGAACAATGCGTTATCATCATTATCATGGTCATCAACCCATTAAAATCTCCACTCTCTGGAGCACAATCCCTTCCTATGGATGGAATTGGGAGATTTTCGCTTCGGTGTAGAGCTGTAGTGTAGGTAGACTATTGTTTTTGTCCTAAAGCTTGTATTATTCACAATAAATTTCTTTATATATATAATATATAATAAAAGTTTTGTTGCGTACTTTAGGACCCGTTGTATCGAATGCACCATTTTTTTGGTTGAACGGGTGAATCTTAGGAACTAATGGTCCGATTTGAAAAAATCTTTTAGTGTTAGAAAGTACATTTATTGAGGAGGGCTTAAGCTTGTCACATCACACTGCGGCCAGTAGGAGCGGATTATTATCGATGTAAAATGTTGCAAAAACGGGTAAAAAATATTGCATTTTTGAGCTTCCGTTGCGTGCGCTGCGTAAATAACTGTAATAGTTAGTAACCGCAAAAATCATATAAGACGGAATTCTTTCCCTTTAAAAGTTCTGTAAAATAGCCCACGACAGCCTATGTAGGCTATGACCCTCCTTGCGGACCTAATGCGGATTGGTGAGTCCTAACAACTACAGATACAGCAGGAACCAACAGCTTAACGTGCCTTCTGCAGCGCGGAGGAGCATGAGAAGATAAGTTGTTGGTCACCTAACCAATGACTGGGCTAGTATAGAAGTTATTCGCAGATTGAACGCGTTAATCTCATGTGCTCCTGCAAGAAAAGTCATTGCGCTCTCTCTTCCCTTCCAATAAGAATACTAATTGCATTCTTATTGGAATACCCTGGCTGGAGTATTGACCTCCAATAAGACATAGAAAAAGGACTGATCGTGCCATGTCCAACTGTAAAGTAAAACTGGGCAGTTATGTGTGAAAGAGACACAGTGATCGTGCGGCCAATACTTCGTATAGGCATCGACTGGACTGCATTCCTCTCTTTTTAGAGAGTGATTAATTTAATGCGAGTATCGCTCAGTTCATATTTTATGCTTCCAACCTAGGTACTCACCATCAGCCTCTTAATGTCCCCACTGCTGGGACACAGGTCTTCCCTATGGATGGAATAGGAAGTATGGGCCATGACCCACCACGCGGGCCCAGTGTGGATTGGCGGGTGCTAACGACTGCAGATGCAGCCGGGACCAACGGCTATACGTGCCTTCCGAAGCACGGAGGAACTCGAGATAGAAGATTTTTGGTCACCCATCCAATGACCAACCTCTGCAAAAGTTGATTAACTTGAACGATCGCAGCCAAGCGCGCTAACCACCTGCGCCATCGACCTCCTCACACCTAGTTACACACGACGATAAAAGCAACTGCGGTTGTATGACTAATATTTCTAGAACTCCTTCCCCAAGGGAAAAGACACTTGCAGCATCAAGGGTACCACTCATGCGTTGCCGGCTCTGAAGGAAAATGTACTCTTGAAGGCAGGCAAGCATTCACCTTTATAGTACAGTCAATCTGTAGGTTGAGTGGTGAAAAAAAAACCTAAAGGGTGAGTCTTGTTTTTTCTGTTGCCAAATGACGTCAGTAAGCCACCTTGGCGATGGGCATGTTCAACTCGTAGGCGTTTTTTGAAAAACTTAAAAAAACCGTCAAAACTTTTTTGAAACGCGTTTTTCTTGTTTTGTATGCATTTTAGAAACTTTTTTTTTGACCATAATTGTAGAGGGCATTAAGTACTACAATTTATGTCATTGTTGCAATCTCGTACAACAAAAAATGCGCATTGTAGGTGGCGCTAAAGTCTCAAAAAAAGGGTTTTTTTCACTTTTTCATCCTGAAAATATCATTTTAATGGAAAACTTTAAATGGCAAAGTTGTTTCGTACATAATTACCATCAACTTTTGTATAAACAATTTTTTTGTATTACTTACCGTTTTCAAGTTATAAATTGCGCAGGTATGAAAAATCCAATAGAGCGGTTTTGGGCAGTTCAAGTACACATTTGCAGTGCACATTTCAATGTACGGTTCTTTTGAGTTTTTCAAAAAACGCCTACGAGTTGAACATGCCCATCGCCAAGGTGGCTTACTGACGTCATTTGGCAACAGAAAAAACAAGACTTACTCTTTAGGTTTTTTTTTTCACTGAAACGATATTTTTTTCGACAGATTGACTGTACTATTACCCGGTGCAGGCCGGCAAGGTAAGGTTGCCTGGTGCAGCGTATTTCTATGCTACATCAACTATCAGCTTTAAGAAAAGTTAAAGTGTGGTGATCTATGTATCACACTAATATTATAAAGGCGAAAGTTTGTAAGAGTGTGAGTATGTGAGTGTGTATGTTTGTTACTTCTTCACGTCTAAACGGCTGGAGCGATTTTAATAAAATTTGGTAAGGAGTTAGCTGACACCCTAGATTAACACATAGGCTACTTTTATCCCGAAAAATGTTAGATTCCAGAGGGATTTTCAAGAAACTAAGTTAACGCAGATGAAGTCGCGGGCGACCTTTAGTATTTATTAATTTATAGTTAGCCCATAGATACATAGGTACCTAAAAGTCTAACATATATATACAGATACTAGTTGACCCAGCGAACTTCATACCACCATAAAAATGGGCTGGTGGTAGAAGGGTAAAAATTTAGGGTTATATAATTTTTTTTAATGCCACACACAAAAAAAGGTCCAAAAACTAAGGAATAAAATGTTAGAGGTGGACAACCCTTATCACTGAGGAATATGAAAAATAGATAGTAGCCGATTCTCAAACCTACTGAATATGCATATAAAATTTCATAAAAATCAGTCTAGCCGAAAAGGGGATGAGACAAAATGGAAAATAAATAAAAGGTCTAAAGGATAGGAATAAGAAGAGTGTAAGGGATGAAGTTGAAATGGTCATAGGTGGATTAAAGTTCAAGCCGGCAAGAGAAGGATCGCTGGTGCTGCACATTTTTATGCCGCATAATCGGTCTTTATAACAGAGTGAGATAATCATTTCTGTATAAAAATATCTTAAAATATAACACTTCTGTGATGATTTTGAATCTTCAAAATGAACTTAGACTTTTAATATATTAACTGACATCGTACAACTAAGGCAGACAACATAAAAAAAGCCCTAAATAGTCGTTTAATAAAAAAATCTTTTTAACTTGTTATAACTATATTATTTTATTTTTTAATCATGAAACTGGTTGATGTTTAAATCTAAAGAAAATATAAGTAGCAAAATTCCACGCGGACCAGGTAGTTATATTTTCCTGTTTTAACTATCCAGTGGCAGTCAATTCATCATTACTCCAACGTCTTAATCCAAAACGAACAACGCAATTGTGCAACACGTGTATGAATCGGGCGCAAAAAACTTGTCAATTTCAGATTGAGGTGCCTCTACTTAAGATGCACACTTTGCTTTGATGATTAGAATCGTGACTGTTTAGACTAAATCCAAATACTCGAATTTGAACTCGTCCCACTTTCCATTTATATCCAATAGAAGAAAATCTGACTTCTTCTCGGACCGTCACTACTTCGTTTTGGATTGGATTTTAAATCAGACTAGCATTAGTCGAATCAATTTAAATAACTGTATTTTTCATTATTTCTACCTTAATTAGAACGATTATTTTCGATTAAACTTCGTAGTGGTATTTCTTCTGATTTTTTTTGCTGCATTTCTTACATTTTATCGAATTGGAATTAAGGTTCCTAACCAAAATTGACAAGGTTTTTAAAACGTAAATTATTACAGTATAGTGACTCCATAACAGTGGATATTTATAATTCTGTTGCACATATCAGTCAAAAACGAAAATAAAAATTCTGTTTTCAAATATGATATACACATTTCTCTAGTAAATATGGCATGTTTACAGGCAGGTGACGTCACACGACTCGAATTAGAACGTCTCAATAAAACGTCAAACGGTACAAATTAATACGTCAGGATGACGTCATTTTAGGCTCCGCCAATCCTAAGCGTTTTCAGTCACGTGGCAATAAATCAAAAAATACTTTTCTATTTCATGATATTTAGTAATATCAACAACTACTCTTTTTGTCAGTATAGTGAAATCGCTTCCTAATATTCGTATTAAATACAAATGCCAAACTTTAACCATAACGACGTTTTCAATTCATGTATTTTAAACTGCAGTACAGGTCGCGATACGTAACTCTAACGCCGAACAAAACGCGGAGGGAATATCTGCGCATGGGCACAGAATATACACTACGCGAAAAGAAGCGACACTTAAGCATGTGTGCTCGTAAAATCGCCCGCGGCTATGTGTGGGTGTCTGGAGGTGTGCGTTGCGCGGCGCGCGGGGCGTGGAGAGATCAGTCGCCGACTGCCTCGACCGAAGGGATGGCAGTAGCGCAATAGTAAAATAATAGCGTTGCACTGCATTGCACACACAGACTGACTACGCTACGCAATCTTATTATTATTTAGATAATAATAAGAATTATAAAACGAATCGAAAAAGGAGAAAATATATAAAAGTTAGCAATTTGTTAAGGTACCTACATTAAAAGATTAAAAATTGATTATAAAATCAAATCTATCCTTCATTATTTACCCCAGTATCCTTGAATCAGTTTACATTTAATAACTTACTATGCATAAATATTCATTGGCACAAGTCTAAATTCCAAGTTCAACCCTAGCGCATACACGCTCCTGCTCAAGGTCACTGACGCTGGAGCTCACACGTACACAGAGTGTCACCGCTGTGGCATGGGTACGACTGGAGAGCCAATCGGCGCAACGCACGCCCACCCGCGCACCTCGTTTCCCCCCAAGACATCTTAATTTTTACTTCTGCACAATAACGGTCAGCGCTAGAGTTTCATGCTGCGACATACGCGTTGAAGATGAACTTCACTAATGGCGCAATTACATTTGGTCGTTAACGAGTTACGAGTCAAATCAACCAAGTGTAATTGAGGCATAAGGTTCATCATCATCAGCCTATTAATATCCCCACTGTTGGGGCACAGGCCATCTCTATGTATGGAAGGGGAAGATTGGGCCGTGGCCCACCACGCGGGCCCAGTGCGGATTGGCGAGCGCTAACGACTGCAGATACAGCCGGGACCAACAGCTTAACGTGCCTTCCGAAGCACGAAGGAACTCGAGATAGAAGATTTTTGATCACCCATCCAATGACTGACCAATGCGAAAGTTGCTTAACTTCAACTATCGCAGCCGAACGCGCTAACCACCTGCGCCATCGAGCTCCTCAAAGAGTAGTAGTAATTAATGAGTAGTATTATGTATTTGTTGATTATTATAAGTACTTATATAGATTTTATCTATTCGTAATAGTGAGATTGACGGGGTAAACTAAACCACTTTCTTTTTCGTGCGTCAGTTAGATTATCAAAAAGTTATGAACACTTAAGTTTTTTTTTGGCAATCACCCAAAAAATTACAAAGATCAAAGTTTGAGCTGTTGACGTCATTTTTAAGTAAAGATTGTACCAAGACGTAACATCATGCGACACTACAAATCGATATACCTCTGTAATGTTTAATTATGTGGATAAAGAAAAAAATATTGTGTCTATTATATTTTGATAATCAGCCTGAAAGATGAAGTATGTCTAAAGAAAATTTAACAAGAAACAATTCCACGCTGACCAGGCAGCAGACGGGACTCGAACCCGCACCCTTCGCTAACCGGGCTAATGCACTAACCATTATGCTACCGCGACCCTGATGGCCGTGTCGAATTTCTCTAGTGTTTCTTAAGCACAAACTATAATTACAATAATGTATGTTTTAAAATCTATTTACCATTTTATCACGTTTAAACCCGATTTTACTAAGCGGCGGAAATGAGGCAAAGAGAAAATCTCTCAAAATGTTTCATCTCAGACAATAAACAAAATATGCTATGCACGTAACTAATCACGTTTGACAACAGTTTTTTATTTTCCGTTCATTGTTTTCGAAATTGTTACTCTCTATAACTGTACCTGCATCGAAGTCTTTTGTGGCACAGACGGAAAACAATGCAGACAATATATAAAGAAAAAACACAAGACCTTTTAGAAAGAATCAAGAATTTAATCTATCTTGAAATAGCTGGACAAATTATTTACAAAAAAGAAGATATTTTCTTTTAATTCTTAATTTAATATTTTATTATTATGTATGAGAAAATTATGATTTATGTTGTTGAAACAAAATACTTAAAAATATATCGTTACTATGTTTACAAGAAACACATGCTGATTTTTTAAAAAAAATAAAGCTCCGGTGAAGCTTTATCTATTTTTATGCTGGCCCATTATAATATTATTATCTGTTTATATTTTGTTACATCTGTAAAAGCAGCACAAAACAAATATTAAAAAGCAAACGAAAATTATAATTGGTTTTACTCGACCATTGTAGAGACAAATTCAGATGTTAACTGAAATTATTGCTGAATAACAACGTTTTGGGTGACTTTAATGCCAAACATATGGCTTGCGGTTCCACAAGAATGGCAGTCAAGAGAGGGAAACAGTTTTTAAATAGTCATCTCACAAATCTATGTTGTGGCTCGAAATTCACAAATCTATGTTGTGGCTCGAAATTGCAAATTAAGTAAGGCATCGGCGATCGCGACGGTTTTGCAGGGATGGAGAGTTGTGGAGAAGATAGAGAACCGGTCAGATCATCGGTACATTCGATTCAGGGTCTCCCCTACACCTGAATTGTCAAACAATCCATAGCAGCGTGCCAGGAGATGTGAGTTTTCTAAAATGGGCAGTTGCCATTATAGCTATTAACGGGATTGTTACCATGTGCCTAGTTTTATATGAGTCTCCGATAAATGTCTCCGATTATAGCTATAATGTTGGTGACCATGAAAGTTTAAAACAATATATGGGCAGTTGCCAGTTTAAATAAAAAAGGCAGTGAAGGAAGCCACCTTAATCCGGGCCTGGTGCCTTGAATCTTCCAACATTCAGGATATAGAAGAGTCCGCTGAGTGTAAGAGAAGCACGCTGGCATCCATCTGCAACGCCGCAATGTAAAGGGCCAGTAACAACCCTCGCAAAAGGAAAGTATACTGGTGGTCCGAAGGGATATTATAAAACCGTCATGGACGCCGGTCTTACAGCAAGGCGAGCTTTATGAAGATATAAACGCAGAGGATCGTTCCTCTGCGTTTATAAAATAAAAACCAATAGAAAATAGCCCGTGGAAAACTTACCAGTAGCCTCGATCTTGAAGGGGGAGCCGACGATGTGCGCACCATTGTATTTCACACTCATGTAGTAGAAGCCGGGCGCAAGGGGTGTGTAGCGAACCTATGAGATAAATCATCATGATCACCATAATCATCAGCATATTAGTGTCCCCACTGCTGGGTCACAGGTCTATGGATGGAATAGATTGTGCCATGACCCACCACGCGGGCCCGGTGCGGATAGGCGGGTGCTAACGACTGCAGATGCAGCCGGGACCAACGGCTTAACGTGCCTTCCGAAGCACGGAGGAACTCAAGATAGAAGATCTTTGGTCACCCATCCAATGACCGACCACTGCGAAAGTTGCTTAACTTCAACGATCGCAGCCGAACGCGTTAACCGCCCTCGAGCTCCTCATGAGATAAATGAACAAGAAGTAAACACTAACCCCCTTATTATTAAACGACGAGTAAGGTTTGACTAGTTAACTAGTGTTTTGTTCATATCACTCAAGTGCCAATCTTCACTCAATGAACAGAGACGAAATATGAAGTAACTAATCAAAGTTTAATCCTCATTTGTTAATAAGGTAGTAATTATAAGCAACAGTATACAAATGAAAACTTTCTAGTTATTTCATGTTTATATTTAGAAAAATCTATAAACTTTTCTAAAAACACTAGAGTGTCACCGAAGTGTCACCGAAGTGTCAATGTAGTGTCACTAGAGGTTTACACAAAAAAAACGAAATTTGAGGAACGTTAATTCTGAAACAGAATTTCTTATTTTTTTATTAGGCTGGCAGCTATCTTGGTCAACGGATCAGCATTGTCATCCAACGTGACAATGCTACCCACCTACTGGGCACATATTTTTTATTTTGTAGTTTTTGTAAGTAATTTGTATTGTAAATTTAAGTCATCATGTAGTTTTTAAGTTTTTGTTATTTAAATGTAAATATGTGAATGAAACAAACTTATTAGATAATAATTATGGACGCTTTCAAATTAAATTGGTTTCGGGCACATCGTTTTGATGGTGTCAAAATTTAAATCGGACTTACTCATAAAAAATATGTGTTTTATACATGTGTGGAGGAGGGGTATTAATCTGCTAATAATAGCACGTACCATCTCCAACATCACAATGCTGCCTACCTTATAACCTTCTTCGACCTCCGTGCAGTCCATGGCGACCCTGGAAGGCCCGTCCATGGTGACCGCCAGGATCCCGGCGCCAGCGTTGCATGTGTCAATTATCAGGTCCGTCTTGACACCTGACCAAACAAAATGTCATTATTTACAGTTTTGACGTGACAACGTCTTAAATTAGGTTGCGGCTGGGAGTCACTTATGAAAAAGTGTAACGCTCGGTAACGTTACGATGAGTCTCTCGTGTTAAGTTTAAGTTTACATGTACAATGTTTTAGTAAACAAAATATATTTCTATAGTTAAAATTTGTGCAATTCTTATTTTCATTCAATTCCTTGTTCCTATTGTGCAATTTAATTATATTCATATCAATAAATATTCTACCGAGAAAAAGACGTTGTCACGTAAAATCTTCGCCCGTAAAACCGACTTTACAGGCAACCATTTTTTTTTACTATCTCTGAAATATATAATCACTAGCTATTAATCACCGGGGCATAGGTCTTCATTATGGATATTTGATGACCTCTGTGATCGAGTGGTTTGTACGCCGGGTTTCATGGTGTCACCTACTCGAGAGGTCCGGGGTTCGAATCCCGGTGGGGCAGATGTTTGTGTAATGTATACAAGAATTTGTACTCAGGACGTGGATGTTAAATATGTATTTCTATATAAATATACTTATATATGTATCAGTATATGTATTAGTATCCCATAACACAAGCCTATAGTGCTTACTTTGGGGCTAGGCTAATTGGTGTGAGTGTTGGAAATATTTATTTATTTATGGATGAAGAATAGAGAATCTTTTAAACTACGAAACTGATTTAATGCAGTTTTAAGCAACAGATATAAAGAGTGATTCAAGGGGATGGTTAATATATATAATTCACGCCCAAGTATAAGTTTGGTGAGTGCTAACGACTGCAGGTGCAGCCGGAACCAATGACTTAAGGTACCTTGCAAAGAATAGAGAAGCTACTACTAGAGATAATACTCATAATCAGAATCTTTATTGCTTCATGTTGGTACATATACAAGAAAATTTTCACTTGATAAAATTCTTGTCAGTTCTTTTCAGAACAAGGTCTCCCACCGGCGTAGTGAAAACATAAGAGTGTTTGATTTTCCTAAGTTCTTTTAACAGCCTTTATAAACCATATTAAAATGACTAAACAAGAAAATTACCAGTTTTGACGGCGCCCAAGCCTGGACCGTGGGCGTGGACAGCAGCTGGATCGGCGTCATCTTTTCCGACCTGAGAAATATGACATAATACAAATAAAAATATTAAAATCAACTCTTATTTAGTTCCAACCTTAGCGAATCTTAGACCACCCCTCTGGTCCCAAGGGTTTCATAAAAGGTGACTAAGGTAGCACAGCCAGCAGAAGACGGCAGCAGCGTCTTCTTCCAAATTCTTGTATGTACTGCTAACCAGCCTGCCAAGCGTGGTAACTATGACAAAACTCCCCAAAATGATAAATTGGGAGTCCTATGCTCGTGCTATGATGATCATCATCGTCTTCATTTTGCCCTGTCGTTGGCAAAATGGAGGAACTTAATGAAAATCACCACCAAAATGTATCTACTCTGTTTTGTGTGAATAAATAAATTTCATAAATTTCATTTCATAAAGTTCATTTCATTTCTTCTTCCAAAATCTGTGCTATACTGCGACCATCCACCCCATGCCAAGCGAAGCATTTATGGTAATTTACCCTAAAATGGCAGATCCTTGAAGGCCTATGCTCAGCAGTGGACGTAATATAGTTGATATTTTGATGATAATGATAAATCAGAGTTTGATAATGCAATGACAGATCTTTGGGGGAAGCCTATGCCTAACAGTGGGCATCAAACGACAGACATTTTTATTTATTTATTCATGGTGCAAAGCATTACCCCACTCCACCTCCACTCCACCATGATGGTAAGTGTAAGTGGAGTTCAGTCGCGAAGATAGACATTACGGCAGAAGGTGTGCCGCTCCAGCCATTATTATCTTGCCGGCCTGAACCCAATCCTCCCTGAAACCCTCTTTACCAGCAGAAGCACAACACCATCAAAAGGTAGTGCTATTTTACTGTAGCTTTGCCAGACAGGCGCTAAAGATTAAAGATTATATGATTACAATAATGGTTATTCAAGCATCGAACCTTGATCCTGAGCGGCGAGGCGGGGATGTGCACCCCATTGAACTTGACGTTGATGTTGTGCACTCCGTTCTCGTGGGGCATGAACCTGATGGAGTACTGGTCGCCGTCGATGTTCTGGATGAAGCAGTCGTCGGTCTTGCCTGAAGGAGATATCACCTGTACGGAAGGATTTAAAGTTATTTTCTCGCAACAATAGGGATGATGACTAATTTTTTTTTCTTTGTCTATAAGGTAGATTATCAAAATGTATTGGACACGTATTTTTTCTTTTTTCACATAATATAAACATTGCAGAGATATATTGATTTGAAAAGTCGCATGACGTCACGTTTGAGTACACTTATAAGTGAAAATTCACTCAAAAGTGAAGTCACGAGCCCCTACTCCCGAACTTTGACGCGCTATAACTTTGTCATTTTTTGGTTGATTGCCCAAAGAAAAAATACGTTTCCATTATTTTTTGATCATCTAACTGACGGACTAAATAGAATTTTGTTTACTGTACCCCGTCATCACCTCTATTCACCGTGAATTTTGGATTACCTGCGAAACTGTACTAGCTTATTCAGAAATCTATTTAGGTTATATTTCCGCAAAAAAATTGTCAACTGACGAACATCAAGTGAAGCGACAAAGTCAAGTGTAGGTATGTGTCGGAATTTCTACAAAAGTTCGTCACTCGCGTCAGTGTGGATTGGTGGGTGTTGGGTGCTTATAATTGCAAGAGCAATAAGAAGCTACGGTATAGGATATCTTTCGAAACACCATGAAATATCTTTTGGTCATCTTAACGCAGACAAAATCGCTCCCTTTTATGGCATTAAGTCCACGACACCTGCTCGCACCTTCCCAAAATTCCAAAATGCGGACTAAAGTTAGTTTTGGTTTAAATCTAAAATTTTTTCTGTCTTCTTTTTAGCAAACAAAAGTGACAGTATCAGTTTTAGTCCAGGTTTAACTTTAGTACGTATACTATGCCTTATAACAAAACGTATTTTGTTATAAGGCGGCTGATGTTAAGTGTCAGTAAATCCCAATCGCAAAAATAAGTATTCATTTGAGATTATGTGATTTACTAATCGCGTAATCCCGTGGAGCTCTTCGAACTTACTCATTCTTTTGTATTGTATTCAATTTCGAAATATATAATTATAATTCAATTTAAAAATAATTTCCTTAACGTTTGGTAAGCAAAACAATTTTAAGACTACTTATTCAAAGTAGTGAAGTATTATGCAACCAATTTAAACAGATAGATACTTATGTTTTTATTTCTTTAAGCATTTAACTGCTAAATGTTTAAATCTAAACAAAAGTTTTACTAGAAAAAATATCCACTCAGACCAGACAGCGGACGGGACTCGAATCCGCACCCTTCGCAATCCGGGCGAATGCACTGACCAATTAAGCTACCACGGCCCTGATGGCCTGATGATGAGATAGATACTTTTGACTTTGAGTCATAAAACACAACAGATTCCCAATTCACGCCACATAAGTAAGTAAACTTATATCCCGAAAAATATGCGATAACATCCCACTATACACGTATTAGCTAGCAAACGGTACATCATATTAACTTTTATAACGCATCGCTGGAGCGCAGTGGTCACTCCTCTCCTCTCGGCGGTTTCGCACGCTTTTATAAAATATTAAACGCTAAGAAGATTTATTGCTATCGTCGGGTCACGTGCGTAGAGCGGTCAGTTTTATTAGATTATTTTTTGTCCAGGAAAATTTCACGCGTGCACACTGTGCGCCGCGCCGCATTGAATACATTGACTTCTGCGTTGTTATTTTTCAACCGACTTCAAGAAGTAGGTGGTTCTGTATATGACTGTGTATGTTCTTGTTTTATTTTGTTTCATAATTAATGTTTCGGAGTGGGTGCCACGCATCTTATAAGTTACTAGCAAACCAGTGAACCAAATGTTCACCAAAAACTGATTTGAAAAAAAATGTATTTAATTAATTGAGAACTTCGGAGATTTTGTGTGGTTTCGTTTGAAATTCGTGATTTCTCGAAAACCGGAAGTGCTACGTTACTCAAATCCGGTTTGTAGTCTTATCAGACTATTCTTAACTTATAACTTAAATATTCTCTTTATCTATCTCTTACGGTTTGGCCGCTGAAACAGCGCCACAGACAGACGGAAGGACGAACTTGTCTAATAGATAAGAGATGAGTTAGTATTTGCTAATTGATTGCTGCCCCCACCTGGTATGGCACCGACATCAAATGTTAATATTACTTTTGATATAAGTAAAAAATATGTATAATTTCCAAATTTTTTGTGGTTTTGTTAATACGAAATCTGTTATTATTTGTTTGTTTAAAATGTTTTATATGTGTTTTGATAGTCCTCTGTACTCTAGTATTTGGTGGGCCTCCATAAGAGACATTTAAAAATAATTGGGTTTTTTGTATTATTAAAGTTTATATAAACGTATATTTTACCTAAACAGACCCCTGTTAATCTGATTTCTCAGTCGAACTCAAATTTTTGGTGTCTTTTACTTTGTGAATAGGTACTGAATATTCGACTGATACTAACAAACTTTATTCACAACACTTCAATTATATTAAATCGAAACATTTAGCTGGATAAAAATATGCAACATAACTTTTTATATTAAAAAAAAACGACGGGTTGCACTCAGTGGCGTAGCATGTGGGGGGTGGGGGGTGCGGTCCGCACCGGGCGGCACTTTGCCGGGGGCGGCGCTGCGGCGGTGGCAGATAAAGAAAAAAAAAATATAAAAAAAAGTTAATTTCTTTCAGATTTTTTTCGTCATTTTTTTGTTGTTGTTACCAAATACCCATACATAGGTTAGTGTTATTCAATAAAAGTACTCTTTTTACCATGCCTCAATTTTTTTATAATGGATTGCAAAAATAAGAGGGCGGCAAATTTGGAATCCGCACCGGGTGCTAGTGACCTATGCTACGCCACTGGTTGCACTCCGAGAGTGCTGGCAGAAGTGAAAACTTGAATATTAACGTTGTGCATTTTTGATATTTTGGAATGGTTTGGGAATAATTTTGCACGAATTGCTTTAATTATCAGTATAAAAGTACCTACTATCATGTATGTGGCAGAATACAATAGTTATTTATTGCGCATTCGTATCGTTAAGCGCACCTAGCGACATCTATTGTAAAAAAATGCATTTTCTTCGCAATAAATCTGCCACGTGGACGTCCTAGATAGAGACTTATTATTAAAATACGGTAAAATAAAATATTACTATGTTTCGTCTAATATATTGAAAGTCAACAACCTTTCCAAATTTATTGTGTGTCATGATGCGATCAGCCTACGTGTTTAACACGTAGGCTGTAGTTTAATATTTTTTACTCATACAAAAAAAGTGAAAAAAGTGTACAACGCCGCTAAAGAAGTTTTCACTTAAAAAAAACAATGTTTACACCTCAAACAAAAAAGATCCGCGCTTCCTTCGCATCCCCTTGTTTTAATAAAACATGGCGCGTCGGGAAAAGATGAGAAGAAATATTCCATCTCACCCCTCCTCCTTACCTCGTCACCCCCAAGTCGTCCGCAATAGTTACACTCGGGCCATCTATCATAAATCTTTAGTACATTCGGACACAACGTCATGTTCCCACGATAAATCACTGACCGACTTTATTGGGCGACAGACACCCAGTAACGTTTATGATATTTCGCTTTATATAAATCATCAAGTTAGTTAGTTTCACGTGTCAGTCATAGGATGGGTAACCAAAGAATTTGATTGTAGATAGGTCCGACAAATGATTCCACCCCACCTGATATTAAGTGACGGTGAAGTCCAGGCGCGAAGATAGCTGAAACATCAGTTTTACCTGCCACACCAGCCAACGTCACCTGGCCGGCGTGCATGTTGCTTCTTCACGCTTCTTATAAAAGATCCCAGGTTGTAAGAGGGAAGGAACACGTGTCGGTCATCGGATGGATAACCAAGGAATTTACAGCCGACGCTCTTTCGTATTTGGGAGGTTAGTTGACCCGTTGATATCGGCTGCGTTTTTTTTTTATAGATAGGTCCGACAAATGCCTTCACCCCACCTGATATTAAGTGACGGTGAAGTCCAGGCGCGAAGATAACTGATACAGCAGTTCTACCTGCCACACCAGCCATCCTCACCTGGCCGGCCTGCATATTGCTTTTTACGCCTCTTATAAAGGATAAGGCAACCTGGGGGTTGTAAGAGGGAGGGAACATGTGTCGGTCATTGGAGGGGTAGCCAAAGAATTTACAGCCGATGCTCTTTCGTATTTGAGAGGTTAGTTGACCCGTTGATATCAGCTGCGTTTTTATTTATATATAGGTCCGACAAATGCCTTCACCCCAGCTCATGTTAAGTGACGGTGAAGTCCAGGCGCGAAGATAGCTGATACAGCAGTTCTACCTGCCACACCAGCCATCGTCACCTGGCCGGAGTGCATGTTGCTTCTTCACGCTTCTTATAAAGGATCCCAGGTTGTAAGAGGGAGGGAACACGTGAGTGGGCAGAGCATTCCATTTACGGATAGTACGACAAAGAAATAAGTGACGGTGAAGTCTAGATGCGAAGATAGCTGATACAGCAGTTCTACCTGCTAAACCAACCATCCTCGACCTGTCGGCCTGAGAAGAATTCGACACAGCAATCAGGGTCGCGGTAGCATAATGGTCAGTGCATTCGCCCGGATAGCGAAGAGTGCGGGTTCAAGTCCCGTCTGCTGCCTGTTCCGCGTGGTTTTTTTTCTAGTAATATTTTCTTTAGACTTAAACATCGAGCAGTTACATGCTTTAAAAAATAAAAATTATAAACATGTAGGTCATGCAAAGTTCATTGCTTATTTTTAAACTTAAATGAAAGCACTATCGTTCAAACGAATAGAAAAAAGAAGGATCGAGGAATGAACCGATGATGGTATACTGACTATCGACCATAACTCGTCTTCATCCTGGAACTTACCGTAGAATTAAGTTCTCCCTTGGCTCCGTTGAAACGGATGTAGAACTGCGCTGGTTTGTCCACCTGCGCCGAGTCCGGGAATTGGGCTACCTCCAGCAGGTAGGCGTCTCCCACAGCTGGGGAGATGTACACCTTGAACGGGGAGTCCGGGATGTGCTGCTCGTTGAACTTCAAACCAATGCGGTATTCACCTGGGGAAAAGAAAAAAATAATTATGTGCAAAACTTACAACACTAAGCATTGAATATGATATTTTTAAAAGCTTGAATGGGCTATGTTTCATCATCAGCCTATTATTGACCCCACTGCTGGGGCGCAGGCCTTCCCTATGGATGGAATAGGGAGATTGGGCCATGACTCACCACGCGGGCCCAGTGCGGATTGGCGGATACTAACGACTGCAGATGTAGCCGGGACCAACGGCTTAACGTGCCTTCCGAAGCATGGAGGAACTCGAGATAAAAGATTTTTGGCCACTCATCCAATGACCGACCATTGCGAAAGTTGCTTAATTCCAACGATCGTATCTGCTCCTCTATGTGTATTAGGTCCTATAAGCACTTGGTGCTTTTGCGACGAATCTCGAAAGTCTAGCATGTACAAGACCAAATGTTGCACCAAAGTTTTAAAAACAACTTTAAAAGCATATCATGTTTAAGAGCCCTTTTACAAAATTCCGCCGCTGCCGTACTGATCGGGACGTAAGTAGATTTGCACTAGTATATATTGCATTTTACGGGTGATGTTTCGAGTCTTATAAAATAATTATGAATGAACATATTATAAAAATATTTATATATTTCAGTAGTTTAATGACGGTAGATTAGTTTTATGAAAGTTTTTGTTAGTAATTCTATTTAATTCAATATCAATTTACGAGGTAAATCTGCATTATTTTTTGGGAAAACTCACGGAGGTTAGATGTTTTTTTTGATAATTATTGAGAGGGAAAATCAAAATCTAATACATTGTAACAACAACAAAAACATATTTCTGATGTTGTAGTTATTAATTGGATGGAACTAATTTAGGGAACATTATTGAGAGATTGAGGCGTTTGAAGTTGTGCATATTATCGTCTTTTCTGTAAACTAGCTGCAGTAGAACGATCAGTACAAAAAAGGAAAATAGTATGTTCAATTATTCTACATTAACTTACAATAGGAAGAATAAATCTACTGTTAACTTCTATGGGAAATAGTCAAAATCTTTTCTAATGCGGTAAACGAGGCGCTCAACAATTACGATACTTTGCAAAATATGTGACAGGGCTCTTAAAACCTCATTATATCTCGATTTGACTTTGAACAATTGAAAAAGATAGAATTATTAATGAACAGTGTTCTGCAATTAGCCTAGCCCCAAAGTAAGCACTGTGAGGCTTGTGTTATGGGATGCTAGGGTAATGGATATAATAAATATACAGTATATTTTATCCAGAAATGTATATAAATATAAACATAAATGACTAAGGTACGAAGTTTCGTATTCATCATACTAACAATTTCCCTCACCGGGGTTCGAACCAGGGACCTCTCGAGTACACGAATTCGGGCACTCGAAGGAATGTTTACATTGTAAGACAGTGTCGGGTAAACCAAATAAGGACGTACTCGACTCCGTTCATTTACACTTAGTCGGTTACCCGAATTCCATTGGCACTCGTATTCGGGCGAACGACCAAATGTAATCGCGCCATTACTGTGGCCACTATTCTTATGTGAACAAAGAAATTTGGTGACTTTCTTGGTCGCAAGATCCACAAACGGAATACCTTTCCTGCTCACGTGTTCCCTCGCTCTTAAAACCCGGGATCCTTTAAAGAGGCGTGAATAAACTTGCAATCTGGCAAGATGAGGATGTCTGTGGCAGGTATCACTGCTGTACTAGCTACCTTCGCATCTGGACTTAACCGTCACTTAACATCAGTCGAGTCATCTGTTATTTTTATTTCTTACTACGGGCGGCCCCGCGACTTTATCCGCGTAAACTTTGTTTTTTTTCAATTTTTTTTTTCTAAAATAAAAGTAGGCTAGGTTACTCCTTTTTACATCAGCTACCGTCCCGTCAAAATCGGTCCGCCATTTCAGAGATTAGTCGGAACAAACAGACGGACAAACAAAAATTGTAAAAAATGTTAATTTGGTGTATGTACCGTATATATATTCATATGCATGTAGCAGTTATTTCAATATTACAAACAGACACTTAAATTTTATTTATATGTATAGAGTATAGATGTATAGATGCAATATTACAGCTCTAACGTCAATATTTCTTTTAAAAAAATCAAAGCAAAGGATTGGTTGTCAGCAATAAGACAACTAAACACAACCAATTAGGTACACCGGAAGAGCGATCTAATTCTTAAACGTCCTACGATGCCGACAAATCCAGAAATAAATTTGCACAGTGATCTAAAAAACTGACAAAAGAGGACAAAAAAGATATTTAAATTTTTCGGGCAGTCTAAAAAAGCCACCGATGTGGGGGGAGGGATGTCAGTCAATCTGAATAACGGGCTAACGATGCCTTCAATATTTCTTTCCAGACTCGGTTGCAAATTTAAAGTTTTACATTTGAGATTTAGGGTTCCCTTATAAGTTTGATTAAAGTTATTCCTTTCTTTGCTGTAATAATAGAATAACCATCTACAATTCGTTGACAGAAAATTTTCCTACAAAGAATTTTTACTAGTAATATATTTCATATTATTATATAGTTCTATTATTTTTCACATTTTTCTGACATCGTCGATCCCACAGTACCTAAAGACGAAAGTCTTCAATCAGTGCGTCCTACCTGTGATGCCATACGGAGCCGAGACGTGGACACTGACGGTACGGCTGGGCCACAGGTTCAAAGTCGGTCAGCGCGCTATGGAAAGGGCTATGCTCGGCGTTTCTCTGAAGGATCGCATCAGAAATGAGGTAATCCGACAGAGAACCAGAGTTATCGACTTAGCCCACCGGATTAGCAAGTTGAAGTGGCAGTGGGCTGGCCATATTTGTCGAAGAATCGATAACCGATGGGGTAGACGAGTTCTGGACAAACGTAGTGTAGGACGTCCTCAGGAGCGATGGAGTGACGATTTGCGCAAGGTGACTGGCAGGAGCTGGATGAGAGTAGCCCAAGATCGATCTGAGTGGCGTAAATGCACGTCTGAATGGCGGAGAGGCCTATGTCCAGCAGTGGACAAAGATAGGCTGTTGATGATGATGACGATGATTATTTTTCTAATGCACAGTACAGTGAATCATAATAATTACCCTTTTTTTTAAACACTATTTGATTATTTCAAAACGTGAAACGTTATTTTTTGGACAGAATATATAAAAACTAGAGGTCGCCCGCGACTTCGTCTGCCTTTACTTAGTTTCTTGCAAATCCCTCTAAAACCTAACATTTTTCGGGATTAAAGTAGTCTATGTGTTAATCTAGGGTGCCAGCTAACTCCATACCAAATTTTATTAAAATCGCTCCAGCCGTCTAGACGTAAAGAAGTAACAAACATACACACTCACATACTCACAAACTTTCGCCTTTATAATATTATAGTGGCCCGCCCTCGCTTCGCTTCGGTGTAGAGCTGTAGTGTAAACTATACTTTTTGTTCTCAGGCTTGTGCTATAAAGAATGACTTTATTTATATAATTACACGTGTTATTGTGAGTGAGTCAACCATAAAAGATAGACATATGCTGTTGCGGGATATTTTTTAGACAATTTTATCCTTACACGCCTGAATAGCTCGCAGATTGCAGAATTTTTTCAGACTTAAATGACATTTATCGTTATATTTTGGACAATTCACACAATATCTTTATAAATTATAGCCTATGTGTTATTCTGATCTATAAGCTACATTACTGTAAAGTTTCATTAAAATCCGTTTAGTAGTTTTTGCGTGAAAGAGGAACAAACATCCATCCATACATCCATCCAAACAAACTTTCGCCTTTATAATATTAGTAAGGATTATAGTGTGATAGTGTGATAAAATATATGGATGAAGCTTTTACAATTTGAATTGTCATAAATTCAAATAAATATAGGTAATTTTAACAAATTATGTCAGAATAGGGTCTATTTTATACGGAACTCAAGTAACATTGCGGTCTCCCACTTCGCTTCTGTATCAGTAAAGAGGCTCGACTCACCGGTGGTCATATTGTTGCTCCAGATTTATTTGCATCCGAACTGAGGTTTTTTTATCAGTTTTTGCTGATTGAACAAAAAAATCCTCATGTTTTTAGAATGTTTCTTTGTATTTTGGTTTTGCGTGAAATTAGTGGGGGCCGGTTCCGCTGAGACAAGTTTAAGTATAAGTCAAACTCTATGTAACTTTAACTCGGGTTAAATGGGACATCTATTAGGTATAGGGAATATGATGACATGACATTTTTATTTAGTAGTTTACATCCCCTTAAAAACCGATCTTTCTAAAGGTTTTTTTTTCTACTCAACAGTTTCTTCGTAAATGTAAGTTGGAGACCTATTTTTTTATGTCTCATAACGGTGATGTAAGGAGAAGATAATTCATTTTTCACACATATAAGCGATATAATTACAATTAAATATTTACTATTTGAGGAGTTCGACGGCGCAAGTAGCGCGTTCGACTGCGATTGTTAAAGTTAAGCAACTTTCGCGGTGATTGGTGTACTACTTTAAGCTCCTAAGTGCTTCGGAAGGCATGTTAAGCTGTTGGCTTAAGCCACTGCATCTGCAGTCGTTAGCACCCACCAATCCGCACTGGGCCCGTGTGGCGGGCAATGGCCCAATCTATTCCGTCCATAGGGAAGATCTGTGCCCTGTAATGGGGACGTTAATAGGCTGATGATGAAGTATTCACTATTAACAAATTTTATGGCTAGTGTCTGTGATAAAACTTTTTAACAATGTACAACAGTAACAGCCAGTTAAACTAAGGGTTAAAAAATTAAATCGATCTCAGTGAGACCAAGCCTGTATACGCCACCAAATAATGATGTAGGTCTGATGTAGAGTGGTGGTATTGACATGTCGCGGGTTCGATGTCCGTGCAGCTTCCTCTGGTCTCTTGTTAAAAACGTTCTTATGGAATCGAGATCGGGGCCATTTGGGAACAGGTGATCGAATTTATGTCATCATTGTGGTACATCTGGTTTTTGTGGGAAACGACAGAAATAAGTAAAAGAAGCTTGGGCTT